ACCTCCATAGCGCCTTGTTCCTTCGTCTGCGCCCCCGTCTGCGCCCCCGCCTGCGCCTCCTCCTCCTCCTCCTCCTGCGGTTTCCCGGCGACGAAAGACACCTCCGGAGACTAATTATCCCAGGCCGTTTGTCACTTAGCATGATCTTTCGAGTCGTTAAATTCCCCCCCGAGGTTCTGTGGCTGTGCTAGTTAAGGGGAAAGGGCTAGTTTAATTGGGTCCTTTCTTTCGTCTTTTTTTTCGCTTTTAATTTCTTCTATTTTGTGTGTCTGTTATATCTCCTTTTTCTTCTTCGTTTGATTTATCTATTTATTTTCTCTTTTTCCTTTTCTTCCTCTTCTGTAAGACTTGCTCTATTCTAATCTCTCTTTCTCTTCTCTCTCTCTCTCTCTCTCTCTTCTCTCTCTCTCTCTCTTCTCTCTCTCTCTCTCTCTCTCTCTCTCTCTCTCTCTCTCTCTCTCTCTCTCTCTTCTCTCTCTCTCTCTCTCTCTCTCTCTCTTCTCTATCTCTCTCTCTCTCTCTTCTTCTCTTTCTCTCTTTCTCTCTCTCTCTCTCTCTTCTCTCTTCTTCTCTCTCTCTCTCTCTCTCTCTCTCTCTCTCTCTCTCTCTCTCTCTCTCTCTCTCTCTCTCTCTTCTTCTCTCTCTCTCTCTCTCTCTCTCTCTCCCTTCCCTCTCCCTCTCCCTCTCCCTCTCCCTCTCCCTCTCCCTCTCCTCTCCTTCCTTCTCCTCCTTCTCCCTCCTTCCTCCCTTCCTTCCCTCCTTCCCTTCCTCTCTCTCCCTCCTTCCCTCCCTTCCCTTCCTCCTTCCCTCCCTCTCCCTTCCTCCTTCCCTTCCTTCCTCCCTACCTACCTACCTACCTACCTACCTCTCTCTTGTTCCTCTATCTTCTATCTATCTATCTATCCATCAACATTTCGCAAGCCTGCATTGTGAATACCACTATAGAACTATGAATAGTCACATTATGTCTAGACAACTCACTGAAGATAATTAACAGATGTACTAATTAGACCTCGTTATGATCGTTTACAAGTTAATTAAGGATTCCGCTGACAATTGGCCGTAATGGTTCAAAAAGTGCAAAGTGCAAAACGATTGCAGAAAAAAGGTCTGTTTGATTAAAAGATATTTCAGTCATTTTTTTTTATTATTATTCCATTCTGCATAAATGCACACATATATGTGGGTGTATATAAGTATATATTATATATTATATATGTATATATATGGCCTATATATCTATATATAGATATATCTACAACTATAACTACATCTACCTATCCATTTATCTCGTGTGTGTGTGAGCGAGAAAGATAGAAAAGGTGAGTGTCTGTGCGCGTGTGTGTATGCGTGTGAGTGTGTGCGTGTGCGTGTGCGTGTGTGTGTGTGTTTATGTAGAACATATATTACACCATGTAACCATACACCAGATCAAGTTATTCGAGCCTGAATTCCCTCAGATTAATCCTTTTCATAACGATGAAAATAAAAATCTTCTCCATTACCAGGATGTCATTAAGTTGCAAGAGCAGTATTGAGCAATTTGGAGATTCAGAACAGGAACTTCTGGCGCAGAGTTAAGCTGTTTAATTAATAGTTAGATGACCGAGTCCGTTGTGGAGCGGTCTGGACTTGTATATAATCCTAATAAATAGATAAATAAATGTATACTATCGACTTCCTTTGTTCATCGACGTTCCTTGTTCAAATTTAGATTCACGTGAGTGTGGCGTAAGTTATGATGAGGATTAGAAATAGATGTATAAGTGTATAGCAAATTCTGCCTTGTTTGTTTCCTTCCAGGATGTTCTCGTCTGTAATTGAATGCAAAATACAGTTACTGGCAAGTTGTTAATTGCTTCTAATGACTATATATATATTAGTTGTGCAAAAGGAGAGATAATTAATAACTAAATATTCAACAGCGGTTTGTTCTGTGAATTTATTACTTTTGTAGTCTATTTTTTAGACTATAGGCAATCTAAAAATAAATATCGGGAATACTGGATATAGAAGATACAGATTATAAACGATTATATTAAACTGAGGGACCTTAAAGATACTGTTGCCATCAGTAGATCTGTTAGTTATATGACTGTAACTGATATGATGGAAGATTTTACTATCAGCATTAACATATATGATCGTGGTTAGGCCTACAAATGAACTTTGAAGAAATATTACCTTACGATGGAAGCTTTTATTAGCAGCAGAATTGTACCAGATGTAGTTAGTCCTGCTGATGAAATTTCAATAAATGATCCACTTAGATACAAGATTTGGTGTATTAAATGCAAGACATCAACCCTATGATTATACTTCATAGGAATTACTTGGGTCCAAGATTCAATTTATTTCATACCAGATAATAATCCTATGAATAAACATCAAATAGAATATAAATAGCGAGGTACGCTATTCATATCTATTTAATGTAACTAAATGTAGCGTATTAATTGCAGCGCTTCATCTAAAACCGTCTAATCTCTCTCGCCCACAGAGTGCACGGATGAAGACGACTTGGAGTGTGCAGTGACTGCCTCCTCCACCTTCCACCTCGGCGCCGGTGTGTGCGCAGAGGGGGCATTCCGTTGTACATCGGGTGAGTCCTTAAGAAGCTTTCGGGTCCTTCCTTGGATCTAATTCCCTTACCACCATAACTTATTCACTCATCAACTCCTTTAGCTATCTTTAACCTCTCAGTATTACTTTAGATAGTGACACATAGCAACTATCTCCCGTCACCACCCTTTACTGTATCTTCCTATAGTGCTATATGGCCTTAGATGACCAGCATATTTGCTTTTAACCATTACCATTAGCCATTAAGAAGGTTTATAGAGTCTTCAGAAAGTGAGATAGCGCTGGGAACTTTCTGTTGTGACGTAGGAGAGGTTGAGAGATCTGGGCTAAATCGGTCTGTTTATTGCACTTTATATATTGTTTCCTTGGCCTTCGATCTGACTGTGAGATAAGAGCGTTTATTTTTTTTTTTTTTTGTATCTTCTTTTCTCTATTCTTTCCTCTCTTTCTTTGTATTTTTTCCATTTATCTTTTCCTCTCGTTCTTTGTATTTTTTTCCATTTATCTTTTCCTCTTCCATATCTTCCCCTTTTTGGTTTCATAAAAAACGAGATCTTCAAAGGGAAAGGAGGGAATCAAGGTCTTTACAGATGCTTTGGTGTGTATGTATATTGACGTGAGATTAATGCAATTAATTGGCAATTAGTAATTTCAACCAATCAAGGTTACTGGATTTCATGCAATGTGAAGTGGAAATTATAAGACCTTATGTAGTTATGTAATTAGCTAGTAGTCTCTCATATGCCGAGACTCCAGTTCAAGAAAATCCAATAATCTAAATGTTAAAATATTTTCATTTAACGAATATGAGAGAATAGCCAGTGAATGAATATCGTTACTATAATTCAATTTCTTAGGCAGTCTTCGCTATCCTGTACAGAAATAAAGTATTCGGTACATGAGTATCAGGCAGAATGGAAATTACCGTATGCTGTGCTTTATGAATTCCTGTACCCGCTGACGATTAATTTTCTTTCTATATATGAATCCATTGTTCTTGACGACCCTTCCCCCCCCCCCTCAATAAAAAAAAAATGCGTATTGTGACTTTGATGATTTCTGTCACACTGACGAAATACCCGCTGATAATTAGTGCGTGAAAATATCGCGTCGTTAAAGGTGGGGAAAAATAATTGATAACCAAAAAAAAATAAATAAAAAAAATGCTTTTTACCCAACGGTTACATGTTCTTGTGTCCTTGCAGAGATAAAAAAAAGAAAAAAGAAAAAAATATAATGCCTGTACAAGTTACTGGTGTTAATGAGGATGACGTCACGATTCCAATGGCAAAAAAGTATAATTAGATTAATTGGCTTGATCTAACGAACGCGCCATTTTCTTAGTTTTTTTTCCTAATCTTATTTCTTTTATCATTATTCCTCTTCTCTTCTTCTCTTCCTTCCCTCTTTTCTCCTCTTCCCCTTGTCATCTTTTTTCCCTCCTCCTCTATATTTTTTTTCCTTCCTCTTCTTCTCTTTCTTCTTCTCCTTCTTCTTCCTTCGTTTTTCTCTTTTCCTCTTTTCCTTCTCATTCTTCTTCTTTTCCTTCTTCCTCTTTTCTCTCTTCTTTTCTTCTTCCCCTCCTCTTCCTTCTCCTTCTTCCTCTTCTTCTCCTTCTTCTCCTCCTCCTTCTTCTTCTTCTCTCCTCTTCTTCTTTTCTTCATATTCTTCGTTCTCTATATCCTGCAGAATGTTCAGTATAGATATTGATGTTATTTGTTAATGTTCTGCTGTTGTTACTACTAATCGATTGACTGTATTTTGTTAATTTTATATTATTATTAATACTAATTGATGCACTCTCTGTTGATCTGTGTTGAATAATTATGTAAATTGATGTATTCAGTAAACTCATTATATTTTATTATCTTTTATTATTATTATTATTATCGTTATTATCATTATCATTATTATTACCATCATTAGTATTTCCATTATTATTATAATTTTATCTATTATAATTTTCATTGCTATTATCATTTTTTTATTAGTATTATCATTATCATCATTATCATTTTTATTAGTATTATCATTATCATTATTTTTACCATCATTTGTATTACCGTCATTATTATTTACATTCTTCTCATTAGTATCATCATCATCGCTTGTTCATAAGGATAATTGGGATGATTGGAAAACATTGGATTATACAGATAATGACTCGAATGGTAATGGTGGTATTAGAGAAGGTTATTGTGGTGGTAATAGGCAACGTTCATGTAACCGATCGCTGTCCTTACGCATTAGCTTTGCACAGATGAATTTTCGTTTATTTGGTGTGATATTATTCGTTATATTATCTTTACCACTCAAATGTAGAATAACAACCAAAGTTTTGATATAATGTCGACTGTTTCATTGTAGAGAGCGTACCAAACGAGACGCCAAACGTAAAATTGTTTGTTTATAAGTCTATGGGCATTGATTTCACGTTTCACTAACGTCTGCGTCAGGTGTACGTGGTTAAAATCTACGGAATTCTGTCGCCAGTTTTCACTACCAATTTAATATTGTAATAGTCTAAATTTCTAATGTAATACTATTATATAATGTCTATAGCCATGCATGAAATGTACCACAGCTTTCCCACGCTTGTGAAGTTATCCATAGTGGTAAAGAAACTTACTTGCCTTAATTATATTACATGTGATAATATGTAAAACTCTGTAATCACGATGGCCCACGCCTGAGCAGATAGCCAGGATGGTGAATAAACTTACCTAAACTAATTTCTTCACCTATATTTATATACATATATATCATGCATGAGATTCTAGTAATCTTTAATATTTTATTAGGAACATGGATGTAGACATCATTATAAAGCAATTGTTTTCCTTCTTAAATAAGTATATTAGTTTGTGCATATATCATCCGATTATTTTTCTTTTTAATTTAAACATATTTCAATAACCTAAAGTCTGCAGTGCGCAAAAACTACATTATTTTTACATGCTGTAATGTAAAAAGTTTAATGAACGAGTTTGAATGCAGGTGAATTTTTATGACCAAACTTTGATGACATTCTAATAGTGATGCCAAAAAGTCGATAAAGAGAGTGTCTTCGATTCCGACATATGTGCATGCATATATATCTGCTTATTTACACATATACATATATTTGCATAGTTAAACATTAAATTGGAATTAGAGCATAATATTATATTCATAACAGTTAGCCGAAAATAACGCTAAACAATGATTCTTAAGAAATAGATTTACCAGGAATAATCCTACTTAATTGATACACTAAAAATAAGAATTACTTTAAAAAATAATATATTTCAAACAGCATGAACAAATTACAATAACTTACAAAATTCCCCAAACCTACTGTAGTAGAAACAATAAATACAAAACAGAGCCACGTTTCTACAACATGCCAGATATACTCTAACAACACACACAAATACATTCCTACAACACAATGAATGCATTCCTACAACACACCAAAACAACACACAACACACCACAACAAGCCCATACATCACACAACACACCTAAAATCCAACCCCCACACCACACACACCCCCCCCCCCCCCAAACCCCCCCAAACCTCACCACAAAACCCCCTTCTTACTCACCCTCCCCCCCTCCCCCCCAGGTCGTGTCTGTGCTTCGGGAGACTGCGTGGCGCCCCTAGGACCTTGCCTGCCGAGGGACCTGGTGTGCAACGGAGAGGCCGACTGCTACGGGGCCGAGGACGAGGCCGCCTGCGTGGGCGTGGCGAGGACGAACCCTGAACATGGTGGGCGTGCATTTTTTTTTTTTTTTTTTTTTTTTTTTTTTTTTTTTTTTTTTGTGTGTTAGTGTTTTTTTGTTATAGGGGTGTTGTTGTTTTTGTTGTGTTTGTGGTTATTGTTATTAATTGTTATTATTATTTTTGTTGATGTAATTAAATGTTGTTATTATTGCTGTTGTTGTTGTTATTGTTATTATTATCATTATAGTTGTTAGTGTTATGGTCATTATCATTGTCGTTGTTGTTGATGTTGCTAATTTTGTTGTTATTTCCATTATCATGATTATTATTATTGTTGTTGTTGTTATAATTATTATTTGTTTAGATATTATCATCATAGATGTTATTGCCATATATTGTTAATGCTATAATTACTATTGTTACTATTATAGTTTTCATTATCATAACTGTTATCATTGCTATGATTATCATCTTTATCATCATCACAATTCTTATCATCTTTACCATCACATTATTACCATTTCCATTACTATTATCATCATTCTTATCATTATCATCACCATCACCCTCCTCCTCCTCCTCTCCTCCTCCTCCTCTTCCTCCTTCTCTCCTCTTCCTCCTTCTCCTCCTCCTCCTTCCCTCCTCCTCTTCCTCCTCCTCCTTCTCTCTCCTCCACCTCCTCCTCCTCCTCCTTCCTCTCCTCCTCTACTCCTCCTCTCCTCTTCCTCCTCCCCTCCTCTCCTCCTCCTCCTCTCCTCTCCTCCTCTCCTCCTCCTCCTCCTCCTCCTCTTCTCCTCCTCCTCCTCTTCTTCCTCCTCCTCCTCTTCTCCTCCTCCTCCTCCTCCTCCTCCTCCTCCTCCTTCCTCCTCTTCTTCCTCTCCCTTCCTCCACCTCCTCCTCTCTCCTTTCTCCTCCTCCTCCTCCTCCTCTTCTTCCTCATCCTCATCATCATCATTAATATTTTGATCGACCCTCCGCACGAAAAAGAGAGAGAGAAAATAGCAAAAGGCAAAGCAAAGCCAAAAGGAAAACAAAAAAGTGAAAACAGACCAAATGCAAAACAAAACAATAACAAAAGACAACAACAAAACAAAAGACAAAATAAAAAACTAAACGAAAGAAAAAGGACAAAAAAACGTAACAATAAAAGACGAAGGCAAAAAAGACGAAACAAAAGACAAACGCAAAAAAAAGACGAAACAAATGACAAAAATGCATAAAATAAAATAAAATAAAATAAAAGACAAAACAAAAACAAAAAAAATTAAAACAAAAGAAAAAGAATAAAAGACTAAAACGCCAAAAAAATATAAAACAAAAGACAAAAAAAGTAAAAGACAAAACAAGCCAAAAAAAAAAAAAGATTCGATCGGATCATCCAACCCATATAAGCTTATCTCCTTCCCTTCTTCCCTCTTTCCATCCCCTCTTCTCGTGTCCCCATCCTCCTCTTTTGAATTTTTTCCTCCATTCCCCCCTTTCTCCGTCCTCATCATCCTCTCTCTTCCCTTCTTTTACTCCTTTCTCTCTCTTCTCTCTCCCTTCGCTTCCCGCTTAATAAAGGGGATTAACATTACCTAAGATTTCCGGCCCGTTAGTGAGTATAGAGGATATATGGATTCTATGTCTGTCTGTCTGTCTGTCTGTCTGTCTGTCTGTCTGTCTGTCTATCTATCTATCTATCTATCTATCTATCTATCTATCTATCTATCTATCTATCTATCTATCTATACCTACCTACCTACCTACCTACCTACTACCTACCTACCTACCTACCTACCTACCTATCTATCTATCTATCTATCTATCTATCTATCTATCTATCTATACCTACCTACCTACCTACCTACCTACCTACCTACCTACCTACCTACCTACCTACCTATCTATCTATCTATCTATCTATCTATCTATCTATCTATCTATCTATCTATCTATCTATCTATCTATCTATCTATCTATCTATCTATCTATCTATCTATCTACCTACCTACCTACCTACCTACCTACCTACCTACCTACCTACCTACCTACCTACCTACCTACCTACCTACCTACTACCTATATACATAACATATACACTCTTGATGGCATTACTAGGAATGTTGTTAGGAATAAGATATATACATACGTACGTACATACATCCATACATATATACGTACGTACGTACATACATACAGGAATATATACACTCATACATACATACATACACAATACATATGTACATGCATATATACGTAGATGCATGCATATATACATAACGTACATATGTGCATACATATTATATGCATACATACATATATGCATACATACATGCTGACATACATGTGTACATACATACATTGCCCATCACTTTCCCCCACCCCCACCCCCCACTCATCATCCTCCCTCACCCCTTCACCCTCAACGTCCCTCCTCTCGCTCCATCACCCTCATTCGCCCTCTCTTATCCCTCACCTTCTCCCCTCTTCCTCACGCACTCCCTCACCCTCACTCCCCCCTCACCCTCACTCCCCCCCTCGCCCCTCACCCCTCAATCCCCCTCACCCCTCACTCCCCCCTCACCCCTCACCCCTCACTCCTTCCCCTCACACGCCCTTAGTCCCTTTCCTGCTCATCTTCACCTTCCCTAACCCTCCTTCCCTTCATCCTACGAGCCCTCATACCCCCTCACTCCCTCACCTTCTCCCCTCTTCCCCTTCCTCACCCCTCCCTTACCTTTCTTCACCCTCACCCTCACCCTTATCTCCCTTACACTTCTTCACCCTCACCCCCTTCACCCATCACCCGCTTTCACCCTCACCTCCCTCCCATTTACCACCCACCCCCTTCACCCTCACCCTCACCCCCTTCACCCTCTCCCCCTCACCTAACCCCTTCTCACCCACCCCCTTCACCCTTCACCCTCACCCTCTCCCCTCTTCACCCTCTCTCACCCTCTCCCCTCTTCACCCTCACCCTCCTTCCCCTCTCCCCTCTTCCCCCTCCCTCACCCTCTCCCCTCCCCTCTTCACCCTCACAGAGAAGGTGGGCGGCATTGAGACGATGCAGTGCTCAGGAGGCTTAAGGATCCCGGAGGCTTGGCGGTGCGACGGAAGGAAGGACTGTCCTCTTGATGGATTGGATGAGGTGAGGGGGAAGGGGAGAGAGAAAGGAAGAGAGGTGTGAGGGGGAAGGGAGAGAGAAGGGAGAGGAGGTGAGGGAGGGAGAGGAGGGAGGGAGAGACGGGAGGGAGGGTGTGAGGGGGAAGGGAGGTGAGGGAGGGGGATGGATTGGATGAGGTGAGGGGAAGGGAGGGAGAGAGACGAAGGAGGTGAGGGAGGGGAGAGGGAGGGAGGTGAAGGAGGGAGAGGAGGGAGGGAGGGGGGAGAGGAGGGGTGAGGGGGAGGGAGGTGAAGGGACGGGAGAGGAGGTGGGGAGGGGGAGAGAGGGAAGGAGGGTGTGAGGGGGAAGGGAGGTGAGGGAGGGGGAGAGGAGGGTGTAAGGGGGAGAGGAGGGGTGAGGGAGGGGGAGAGAAGGGAGAGGGGGTGTGGGGGAAGGGAGGGGAAGGAAGGTGTGAGGGGGAAGGGAGGTGAGGGAGGGAGAGGAGGTGTGAGAGTGAGGAGGTGAGGGTGAGGGATGGATTGGATGAGGTGAGGGAGGGAGAGAGAGGGAAGGGAGGTGAGGGAGGGGGAGAGGAGGGTGTGAGGGAGGAAGAGGAGGGGTGTGAGGGAGGGAGAGGAGGGTGTGAGGGAGGGAGAGGAGGGTGTGAAGGGGAAGGGAGGTGAGGGAGGGGGAGAGAAGGGAGAGGAGGGTGTGAGGGGAAGGGAGGGGAGGGAGAGGAGGTGAGGGGGGAAGGGAGGGGAGAGGAGGGTGTGAGGGGAGGGAGGTGAGGGAGGGGAGAGAAGGGAGAGGAGGGTGTGAGGGGAAGGGAGGTGAGGGAGGGGGAGAAAAGGGAGGGTGGGGAAGGGAGGTGAGGGAGGGAAGAGGAGGGAGAGGAGGGTGTGATGGAGGGAGAGAGAAGGGAGAGGAGGGTGTGAGGATGAGGGTATAAGGGGAGGGGAGGAGGGTGTGAGGGGGAAGGGATGTGAGGGAGAGGGAGAGGAGGTGAGGAGGGGAGGAGAAGGGAGAGGAGGGTGTGAGGGAGGGAGAGAGGAGGTGAGGGGGAGGGTATAAGGGAGGGAGAGGAGGTGAGGGATGGATTGGATGAGGTGAGGGAGATAGAGAGGAGGGTGTGAGGGAGGGAGAGAGGTGAGGGTGTGAGGGAGGAAGAGGAGGTGTGAGGGAGGGAGAGAAGGGAGAGGAGGTGTGAGGGGGAAGGGAGGTGAGGGAGGGAGAGAGAAGGAGAAGAGGGGTGAGCGAGGAGGGTGTGAGGGAAGGGAGGTGAGGGAGGGGGAGAGGAGTGAGGGGGAAGGGAGGGAGAGGGAGAGAGAAGGGAGAGGAGGGCGTGAGGGGAAGGGAGGTGAGGAGGGAGAGAGAAGGGAGAGGAGGGTGTGAGGGGGAAGGGAGGTGAGGGAGGGAGAGAGAAGGAGAGGAGGTGAGGGGGGAAAGGAGGTGAGGGAGGGAGAGAGAAGGGAGAGGAGGAGGAGAGGGTGAGGGTATAAGGTAGGGAGAGGGTGAGGGTTGTGTGGGAGAGAGAGGAGGGTGAGGGAGGAGAGAGAAGGGTGTGGAGGAGAGGAGGTGAGGGTGAGGGATGAATTGGATGAGGTGAGGGGAAGGGAAGTGAGGGAGGGAGAGAGGAGGTGAGGGTGTGAGGGTGTGAAGTATAGGAGAGGAGGGTGAGGGATGGATTGGATGAGGTGAGAGAGAAGTTGAGGGTGTGAAGCAGACGAGGTGAGGGATGGATTGGTTAAGGGAGGTGAGGAGAAGGGATGAAGGGTGGTGAGGGTGAGGGGAGGGGAGGTGTGAGGGAGATGAAGAGGGATGGAGGGAGAGGGAGGGAGGGACACAGTTATACAATGATACAAATTTATTGACCAACAACAGTTCCAACAACTTTCAAGCAACTAATTCAATAAACAAAATACAATGGGTCACAAAACACCCTTTATGATCTGTACAGATTGACACTAGGATAATGATGGTAATAATAAACACTACAACGTACAATATATTTACAAACATATACAATTTATGCATAGTTTATATATTTTGTGTAAAGGTTTTACATGTTACACGTAGTTCATACATTTCTACAGAGATTATATATGTTGTCTTTGGTTTGCATGTCGTCTAAACATTTATTAAATGTACAAGATTTCAGTTCATAATTTATATCTCTTCTGCAAACGTACAATTTACATAGAGTTTACAGGGATTAAACATGTTGCATAAGTAGTTTACGTTGTTATTATATGTTGTTACATGTTACATATTGTCATAGATAATTATTGTTTGATATAAGCCTAAAATACTTATAAGAATGTTTCTTTTCAGAGAATTTATAAATGAACACTTTTTATAAAAGCTAACATCTTATTCCATAATAAGCGAGAGAGAGAAGAGAGGAGAGAGAGAGAGAGAGAGAGAGAGAGAGAGAGAGAGAGAGGAGAGAGGAGAGGAGAGAGAAGAGGAGAGAGAGAGAGAGAGAGAAGAAGAAGGAATGAGAGGTGAGAGGAGTGAGTGAGAGAGACGGAGAGAAGGGGGGGGAGAGCAAGAGAAGAAGGGGGGAAGAAGAGGAGAGAGAGAGAGAGAGAGCGAGAGAGAGAGAGAGAGAGGGGGGGAGGGAGAAAGGGAGGGAGATTAGACGAAAAAGAGCGAGAGGGAGAGAAAGAAAGCAACGAAAGGAAGAAGAGAAAGGAAGCAGAAAGAGAAAAAATAAGAGAAATAAAAAGAAAAAGAGAACGAGAAAGAAAAAGAAAAGAGTTTAAGAAAATAAGAAAAAAAAAGAAGATTCAAAGAGACTAACAACACTCGAGAGAGAAAGAGAGACCTCCACCGAACACCAATACAACCTTCCCCCTACCTAACCCTCCCCTTTGCCCCTTTTCCCCCACTCTCACCCTTCTCCCTCCCTCCCTCCTTCCTCGCAGGTCGGTTTGTGGGCTACTGTGGACCCGACCAATTCATTGCCCGACCTCTGCGTGTGCGTGCCCCCGAACAGGTGTGTGACGGCTGTCCGACTCCATCCCGGGCTGCACGGACGAGCAGTACTGCGATTCCTGCCCGGCCGAACCTACTGTTGTGCGACGTTCTGCGTGGCCACGTAAGGCAGAGAGGGGGGGGGCATTGGGAGGGGGATTGGGGGGGGGTTCTGGTGGGGAGGGGATTTGGAGGGGGGCCGTTCTGGTGGGGAGGGTGGGAAGAGGTCTTGGAGAAGGGTATTTTGGAGGGTGAGCGAGGAGGAGGTAAGGATTGGAGATAGGGGGGTGGGAGAAAGGGGGAGGGAGGAGGGGGAAAGAGTAAGGATGGAGGGAGGGAATTTGGGGAGAAAGGGGGGAGCGGAGGAGGGGAGAGGAGGGAAGGCGCGTAAGGGTGGAGAGAGCGATGGAGGACTTAGGGAGAGGAGGAGGGGAGAAGAATGAGCGGATGGAAGGATAGGGAAGGTGGCGACGAAGAAGAAGGAGAAAGGGTAGGGAGGGAGAAGGGAGTATAAGAAGGGAAAGAGGAAGGGGGTTGATATTGGTAAAGATTTAAAGGAGATTGATTGGATTGAAATTGTCTAGGTGATAGAATTGAGTTATCGATAGCTAAATACATTAGTTTGGATGATAGATTGTATATATGGATGAATAGTAGGACGAATACATAGGTAGATAGATAACTAGATACACATGTAAGTGGTGTGCACGTGCGTGTGTGTGTGTTGCCGTGTGTGTGTGTGTGTATGTGCTGCGCGCATGTGCGTGTGCGTGTGTGTGTGTGTGTGTGTGTGATGTGTGTGTGTGTGTTGTTGTGTGTGTGTGTGCGCGTGTGCGTGTGTGCGCGTGTGCGTGTGTGCGTGCGCGCGTGTGTGTGCTATGTTGTGGCGCGGTGTGTGTGGGTGCGAAATACATAAAAAAAGAGTTTTAGATCTATCGTCATAGCGCAATATACCTCATATGGTTTTCCCTAAATAGGTTTTCTTGAGAATCTTTGATGCCTAATATATGCAAGAAAATAAGTCTGTACCTCTAAAGATTGGTCGGTCCTTTTTCTCAATTTACCCGGGATTGGGAACTCCAATTTTGATATTTAGTTGAAGCAACTTCAAGGGGAAAGGCGCGCTCCATTTAGACCTATGCATCGGTTGCAATATGTATATAAACATATTTAGATGTTCATACGTATACATATATATATATATATATATATATATATTATATATATATATATATATATACTATATATATATTGTTGTGTGTGTGTGTGTGTGTGTGTGTTGTGTATATTATATGGATATGTATATGTGTGTGTGTGTGTATAGAGAGAGAGAGAGAGAGAGCGAAGGTGGGAAGAGAGACAGAGGAATGTGTGTGGGGTATGTCTTCTATTCATATTCCCTAATGGTATGTGACATACATACCTGTTAGTTTTATGGTTATGGTTAAGACACTTTTTGGCGAATTTCTTCCCCCTCCTCCCATCCACTCCTAGAGCCTCTCTTTGGCCGCGTTTCTCTTTCTCTCTCTCTCTCTCTCTCTCTCTCTCTTCTTCTCTCTCTCTTCTCTCTCTCTCTCTCTCTTCTCTCTCCTCTCTCTCTCTCTCTCTCTCTCTCTCTCTCTCTCCTCCTCTCTCTCCTGTCTTTCCTTTCCTCCTCCCTTTCCTCTCCTTCAGTTCTCTTACTGTCTTTAACCATTTCTCTCTCTCTTGCTCTTCTTCAGCCTCTCACTTTCTCACCCTCTTCTCCTTCCCTTCATCCTCTTTCCCTCCCTTCCCCCTTTCGCTCTTCTCTTTTTACTCTCCTCTTACATTCTCATTATTTCACCCTCTTTCTTCCTCCTCTCCCCTTCCTACTCTTCTTTTTCATCCTCCCTTCCCTCTTTCTTCAGTATATCATCTTACCCTTTCACCCTTCTCACCTTTTCTCTTTCTCTTCTTCTTCTTCTTCAGCTTCTCACTCTTTCACCTTCCGTCAGCTTCTCTCCCCTCATCCTCTCTCTCTTCTCTCTCTCTCTCCTCTCTCTCTCTCTCTCTCTCTCTCTCTCTCTCTCTCTCTCTCTCTCTCTCTCTCTCTCTCTCTCTCTCTCTCTCTCTCTCTCTCTCTCTCTCTCTCTCTCTCTCTCCTCTCCCAACTCTCTCCACTCTCTCCCACTCTCTCCCACTCTCTCTCTCTCTCTTCCCCACTCCTCTCTCTCTCTCTCCCTCTCTCTCTCCCCCACTCTCTCCCTCTCCCTCCTCCCCCACTCTCCCTCTCCCTCCTCCACTCCTCCCTCTCTCTCTCCTCCCACTCTCTCCCTCTCTCTCTCTCCCTCTCTCTCTCCCCACTCTCACCCTCCCTCTCACCCTCTCCCCTCCCTCCTCTCCTCCTCTCTCTCCTCTCTCTCTCTCTCTCTCTCTCTCTCTTCTCTCTCTCTCTCTCTCTCTCTCTCTCTCTCTCTCTCTCTCTCTCTCTCTCTCTCTCTCCCTCTCCCCTCCTCCCTCCCTCCCTCCCTCCCTCCCTCCCTCCCTCCCTTCTTCCCCCTCTCCCTCCCTCTTCCCCCTTCTCCCTCCCTCCTTCCCCTTCTCCCTCCCTCCTTCCCCCTTCTCCTCCCTCTTCCCCCTCTCCCTCCCTCCCTCCCTCCCTCTCACCCTCTCTCACCTTCCCTCTCTC